ATTTTAACAAGTCTAAATTAAAAAGAAATACACTAAACACAAACATATATCACTACCAATAAGTGAAATTTTCAATACTTCTTGAGAGACAATGAATATCAATTGCCGACTGATTTAAATGATCTCTCAAGGCTATATGAACATTAACTTATTTTTGAATGTAAACAATTAAAATCTAAGAAAAGCAGATTAGAGAACCCAAATCAGGAATTATATGCTTGAGTTATATAGGGATTGAAACTTTCATAAAACTATGTCCAAACCTTAGTACCTTACAAGCTGCATATACTATGAATCCATATTTGTAACATTGATGGTTAAATTCACAACGAAGTTACGAATATGATGACATTCCATGCAACAAAAATCATGTCCTAAACTACACAATATTACAAAAATTCTATCGATTGTTGTAATCTTTCCCCTGTATAGCGGCAAACTCCCAAAATTATACATACTGTTGAAACTTCCCATATCTAGAAATTTCAAAAGGGATCCCAATTAAGCTAGTTGCAGAAGAACTATAGAGAGGTTTTCTCTATATACATCTAATCCAATGGTCTTCAAATTCGTTGTGTCATTAATAGTATTGGTATACAAGGAGCAGTGTTGTTCACTCAGTTTTAGCGAGTAAAGAAATTTCTCACCTCCCCTCTGTAATTATGTCACTGAACCAAGTGGCATTTTCTGGAGAGAGCAATGGATCAACTCCGAGGCTAAGATCAGTTGCACTATCACATTGGCTCTTCTTTCTACTATAACTTATTGTCGATGGGGATGTAACAATATCTTTGTTCAAAAGGCTATTTGTTATGTCCTTATAATTCCAATCAGTCAAACAATTTGGCTTTGAAGTAACAGTTTCCACTTCAATGTCCCTAGCAAGCATGTTAACAACGCGTGACATTGTTGGCCGTAACATGAGTGACGCTTGAGTGCACAAGAGAGCAACTCCTATTACGGGCATATTTTTTTTTTTTTAATATATTTTGTTTAGGTATCGGACTGTTGAGGGAGTTTTTCTTTTCCTTTTTATGAATTATTTTATTTAGGTTTTTTCATTAAATTTTAAATTTATTTTAAAATCTATTTTAAAAATAATGAATAATAAGGATAATTTTGGAATTTTAAACAGTCAAACCTGGTCAAATTATAATTTTGATGGACGGTGAGTAGTGACGGGTGGCACATATTAGATTACGAAATTAAGGGTGGAATCGTCCTTTCACGAAACATAAGATAGGAAAATGTAATTGCGTTTTTTTTTTTTTTTTTTTAATCATGCCATTAAACATTAGTCTATTAATTTTGTAGTGCCCACATATATTATTTCCAACAATAAAGCTACGGGCACCGAAAATTTTGCATCGAAAATATGTACCGGCCTACGTGTACCCCTGACTCACACCATGCCTAATTTTTTTATAATTATTTTTCTAGTGAATGGTCGTCCATCAAATATGGACGGCTGTTCACTCACATGGACTTCCGTCCATATTATATGGACGGGGTCCATATACGACGGACAGGGGTCCCCATTTAAAGGACGCCCGTTCATAAGTAAAATATAATAAAATATTTTTATAAAAGTTAGGGACGGGGACGGCCGTCCATTACTTTTGGATGGGCGCCCACAAATAAGGGACGCCCGTCTATTAAGTTTGGACGGGCGTCCGTAAGGAACAGATGCCCGTCCAAACTTAATTTGGTTTAAACAATAAAATAAAAAATTTGGACGCCCGTCCATAAATTGTGGACGGGTGTCCCTTAAGTTTGGACGGGCGTCCATAACCAAATGGACGCCCGTCCTTTATTGTGGTTTTAAAAAAACAAAATAAAAGAACTTGGAAGTGTGGACGGGCGTCAGTAACTAATTGACGCCCATCCATTATGTATGGACGACAGTCCACACTTAAGGGACGGCCATCCCTTATGTGAACAGCAAATTAAGGGATAGCAGTCCACACTTAAGGGATGACCATCCCTTATGTAATAACTGCTCAACTTCTCCACTTTCGCTTCTCTTCTTCTTCTCTGATCATCTAATAACTGCCCACGACTTGGTCCATCAAACTTGCAAAAAATGTGCACAAAATGACCCTAACCTCAACTACAGCTTTCTATGTAACTTCTCTTGAAGCAGTTCCAAGTTGCCACTATGCAAATCTTTGCCAACTGGGTATGATCTCAATCAACTTAACTCGACGCAACGTCACAAACACAAGGTCATATATTAATGACCTCTTGGAGAACAAAAAGTTGGATCCATTCATGAGCTCATGCTTGACTGATGTTATGAACTTTACTCAGACACTATTTCAACTCTCCAACAGGCCATCAAAGACTACAAATCTAAGCACTATGAGGATGCTAATTTTGAAATAAGTTCAATCATGGATGCTTCAACCACTTGTGAAGATGGGTTTAAGGAACAAGAAGGCGTGGCTTCTTATAATAGAAAGGGTTATGGCAGACAACTGAAAGCTATTGTTATTTCTATTATAAGAAGCCACGCCCTCTTGTTCCTTAAACCCATCTTCACAAGTGGTTGAAGCATCCGTGACTGAACTTATTTCAAAATTAGCATCCTTATAGTGCTTAGATTTGTAGTCTTTGATGGCCTGTTGGAGAGTTGAAATAGCGTTTAAGTAAAGTTCATAACAATCAGTCAAGCATGAGCTCATGAATGGATCCAACTTTTTGTTCTTCAAGAGTTCATTAATATATGACCTTGTGTTTGTGACGTTGCGTCGAGTTAAGTTGATTGAGATCATACCCAGTTGGTGAAGATTTGCACAGTGGCTACTTGGAACTGCTTCATGAGAAGTTACACAGAAGCTGTAGTTGAGGTTAGGGCCATTTTGTGCACATTTTTTGCAAGTTTGATGGACTAAGTCGTGGGCAGTTATTAGATGATCAGATAAGAAGAAGAAGAAGAAGAGAAGCGAAAGTGGAGAAGTTGAGCAGTTATTACATAAGGGACGATTGTCCGTTAAGTGTGGACTGTTGTCCCTTAATTCGCTGTTTACATAAGGGATGGTCATCCCTTAAGTGTGGACTGCCGTCCATACATAATGGACGGGCGTCCATTAGTTACCGACGCCCGTCCACACTTCCAAGTTCTTTTATTTTGTTTTTTTTAAAACCACAATAAGGGACGGGCGTCCATTTGGTTAAGGACGCCCGTCCACAATTTATGGACAGGCATCCAAATTTTTTATTTTATTTTTTAAACCAAATTAAGTTTGGACAGGCGTCCATTCCTTACGGACACTTGTCCAAACTTAATGGATGGGCGTCCCTTATTTGTGGGCGCCCGTCCAAAAGTAATGGACGGCCATCCCTAATTTTTATAAAAATATTTTATTTTATTTTACTTATGGACAAGCGTCCTTTAAATGGGGGCGCCCGTCCGTCGCATATGGACCCCCGTCCATATAATATGGACGGGAGTCCATGTGAGTGAACGGGCATCCATATTTGATGGACAACCGTTTACTAGAAAAATAATTATAAAAAATCAGGCGTGGTGTGAGTCAGGGGTACACGTAGGCCAGTACACATTTTCGGTACAAAATTTTCGGTGTCCGTAGCTTTGTTGTATTTCCAATTAGAGTAAATGACTTTTTCACACTCTCAAATAATGGCTTAACGACACTTTTAAATCCACAGACTTTTAAAATACCATTTTACTAACTAAATTTATATTATGTTTCCGATTTTGGCACCGTTGCGACCCCACACCATCACCATTCTCTTTTCCGATCATCACTTACCAACATCTCTCAAACCCTACTCCCGTCGACCTCACCAATTAGGGGCAGATCCAACGACTTTTTACCCTCAATTTTTTTTTTAAATATTAATTTGTATAATTTATATATTTTGACCCACCTTAACAAAAATATTAATGGAAAAAAATAGTAATGTATAATTAATTTTTATTTTGGCTCACTTTAAAAGAAATTTCTGGATCCACTACTACCGCCAATCATTGGCAATTGAGCATTAGGATTTACACAACCGCCCATTCCAAGTCAAATTCTGATTAATTCCAATCACCAAATTAAATCCAATATTCCACCACCAAAAGACTTATCGGCCTCTCCTCTTCAAAAATCTCAACAGCTTAGACCGAGTTTGCTCTTTGTTCGTCATCGAAATATAAATTTGGTTAGTAAAGTGGTATTTTAAAAATCTGTTGGTGAAAAAGTGTCATTAAACCATTATTTGGGTGGGAAAAAATCGTTAACTCTTTACAATTATAATAAAAACATGTTAGATATAAAAGTTAAAAGTTTTAAAAAGATTTTAACAACATAAAGGAATGTGTAGAGAAATTAAAATATAATTCGAAATTTTAACAAGTCTAAAATAAAAAGAAATACACTATACACAAACATATATCACTACCAATAAGTGAAATTTTCAATACTTCTTGAGAGACAATGAATATCAATTGCCGACTGAATTAAATGATATCTCAAGGCTATATGAACATTAACTTATTTCTGAATGTAAACACTTAAAATCTAAGAAAAGCAGATTAAAGAACCCAAATCAGGAATTATATGCTTGAGTTATATAGAGATTGAAACTTTCATAAAACTATGTCCAAACCTTAGTACCTTACAAGCTGCATATACTATGAATCCATGTTTGTAACATTGATGGTTAAATTCACAACGAAGTTACGAATATGATGACATTCCATGGAACAAAAATCATGTCCTAAACTACACAATATTACAAAAATTCTATCGATTGTTGTAATCTTTCCCCTGTATAGCGGCAAACTCCCAAAATTATACATACTGTTGAAACTTCGCATATCTAGAAATTTCAAAAGGGATCCCAATTAAGCTAGTTGCAGAAGAACTATAGACAGGTTTTCTCTATATACATCTAATCCAATGGTCTTCAAATTCGTTGTGTTATTAATAGTATTGGTATACAAGGAGCAGTGTTGTTCATTCAGTTTTAGCGAGTAAAGAAATTTCTCACCTCCCCTCTGTAATTATGTCACTGAACCAAGTGGCATTTTCTGGAGAGAGCAATGGATCAACTCCGAGGCTAAGATCAGTTGCACTATCACATTGGCTCTTCTTTCTACTATAACTTTTTGTCGATGTGGATGTAACAATATCTTTGTTCAAAAGGCTATTTGTTATGTCCTTATAATTCCAATCAGTCAAACAATTTGGCTTTGAAGTAACAGTTTCCACTTCAATGTCCCTAGCAAGCATGTTAACAACGCGTGACATTGTTGGCCGTAACATGAGTGACTCTTGAGTGCACAAGAGAGCAACTCCTATTACTCGTAGAGCTTCGATTTCATTGAACTCTGATAATTTGGAATCTATCAACCGCAAACTTTGGTTACTTTCATGAAGACTCCAGGCCTACAAATACCATAAGAGACAATTCAAGAAGAATTAAGTTTTTTTAACGCTAAAGTACATAGAAGAAAGCAAAAAAAAAATTAAAAAAAAATAATAGCACGAATTCAAGAAGATTAATCTTTTCCCTATCCAAGCAAGTATCAGAGTTTGCCCTTCCACTAATAATCTCCAAAGCAACAACACCAAAACTGAATACATCAGCCTTTTCTGTCAAGTGTCCACGCATTGCATACTCCAGTGCTAGATAGCCATTGCAAGAAAATGAAGGATTTCTCAAGGTTAAAATCCAAAAGTAAAGTTTGGGTACAACCCTATTCCAAGCGCCCACTTGCCTTTGCAATGTGAAAACCTTTATAAGTTAGCAAATCTTACATAAATACAAAGCAATTCCTTCATTATCAAAGATGACACAAAAAGTTCTCTCAACATACAAGTATTGCTCTCAGTCATTCTCATTAATACATGTACGTTGAGCATGTTGAGTATTTTGAAATACCCACAACAAAATCTACTAGATGTTTTGAAATACTCTGCAGCACATTCTAAAAGGAGTATTAAGGAAGAATGGTAGTCAAGGAATGATTGAAGGAGCTTACATGGTCCCTGCAACTCTGGTGCTGATGTGAGTTTTTTTTGTCATTATACAGTTTTGCCAATCCAAAATTTGATATCTTTGGTCAAAGTTCTACATCGAGTAAAATTACTTGCCTTGACATCTCAATGTACCATCTTTGGCCTAGAGTCCTCATGAATATATGCCAAACCTCTTGCAGTTTCCAAGCATATATTGAACCAGGTAGGCCAATCGAGATGCAACCCCCTTCTTCTTGCAGAAACATAGTTGCAACCATTAAGATCTTCAAGAGTTATTGACATGAAAAACTGAGGATTCATGGACAGTTTATCCCCAGAAACAATTTGGAGCTCAATAAAACATTGACAATTAGTTCAAACCCGTTTGTGTTCTTATTTGCTCATTAAATATGCAGGATTTTTTTTTTTTTTTAAATAACTAAACACAATTTCATTGTAGAACAAATATTCTTTCTTTAAACCGTTGCATTGGTTAAAACAATTGAAAGTCAGCAAATAGTATTTTGCACTGAAAGATTTGTTGTTATGAGTGGAAGCAAATCATAGGAGAGAAATCACACTGCATTAATGTTGCAGTTGTTGCAAGAAATACAGAAGCAGAAATTTTAAACTAAAGTTGATCATCAATTAGCATCCTCATACCAAACAATACTTGATCAGGTTTTTGTTTTCAAGGTCCTCATCAATTAGTGTTGGCCATGAAGATGAATACTCAACAAATTCTATATGTCATCTTGTTTCTCTTGAATTGGCTGATTGTCGTAAATGGTATTATTGATTAATTCTACAATCATGTAAAACATTATAATCTTAACAAAACAAGTAAAGAGGGTTATTGGCTCCCAATGCCTAAGGTCCAAAGCAATGTTTGATTTCTAGAAAATGAAGATGGAAAATGAAGTTATATGGTTGAGAGACATACAGCTGTTGTGAACCTGTTAGACTGTCAGTCACCCACGAGAAAAGTTCCTGATAGATACTGTAAGACAATCTCTGCAGGAGTACATAAGCATCATTAGAAGGAATCATATGCACCAACATACAAATCTTAAGAAGGAACAAATCAGTTAAGATTTTCAATTGCTATCATCATTTTCTTGTCACAAAAAGTGATTTCCACTATGTTAAGATTTTGAATTTTAAAAGTGGTGGCCTATTCTAAGAACATATTGTAGCAATAGTGCCTCTGTCATTCTTCTTCATTTTGCATGGAAAAATCTTTGTGAAGATATTTATCTTTCTTTTTCTTCTTAATCTATTCGTGAAGTATTTGCACCAATCCCTCTCACTCTTCTAATGGAGCCTCTAAACTTTCAAGGCAGTACAACAAAATGGACATATAACATCCATAACTACACAAATAAAATAGGGACATTCTAAAGATAAATGACATTAAGGCTTACATGTTTTGAAGATATACTGCTTTTTGCTGAGGAAGCTTTCCTGATAGACTATTGTTTCCAAGAAACCTAGCGAGAGAAGCAAAAAACAAGCGAATGTGCATTTAATGAAAGAATAAGCATCAGAGAAAATCTAAAATAAGAAACTAAAAATAACTTAAATATAAAGAACTCAAATCTAGAATCGCTAGAAGGAAGCTCTCAAGAAATTTACAAGTGAGTAAGAGAATCGACACTAAACAAAGCACTTGGGATTTGGAGGAAATTTAACTCCCCAAACATCCCAAGTTTGCATTTAAAAAAATAACACTAAAAAGATTTTGCAATTTTTTTTAAGTTAAAAAAAATGACGAGGCACACTTAAGATTCATTAAACATGTAAAATGGGTTAAACTGAAAAAATTTAAACATATATGGGTAATATATAATTAACAAAAATTTGTTTAAATTGTGAAAATTGCAAATGACCCTCCCTTCTCCAATCAAAATTGATTAAGCAGACTCAATCGCTTGATCGACCCCAAGAAAACCCTGACGAAATAGCCACCCTTCACTGTGTTTTTCTTGTCGTTTTTCACCTCCCATTGTCGTAATCGTTTGCTGTTTGTATTGAAGACATTCCCTCTTACTTAGAAAGAAACAATGGCTGACCTAAACAAACATTTTGACAAAGAGCCAGCCCCTCTTCAAATCGTGGATGTTAGTGGTTCGAAAATTGGAGAATCAGAGGTTGCGGTGGAGCAAATTCCGATGACTGAAGTTGGTTCAATAGGAGATATTACGACATTGATAGAAGACAGCCCACTAGGTGAACAAGGGATGGCAAGAGCCGAAATTGAAAATGAAGAGGAGGATGTCGGCATAACGTCAGGCGAGAAGGAGGAAGAAGATGAAGTAAAGGTAATAATCTATATATTTTATGAAATTATTGGTTGTTTTAGGGGATATTTGGTTGGTGTGTTGTTAGGGTCATTGTTGCATTTTTTCGAACAGTTGAAGGGCATTTGAGAAGTGGGTGTTTTGGTCTAGAGGGCTGGGGAAGCCAATGGAGACCCTCAAGAGGTTGTTTGTGGCAGTTTGGATGGCTTTTGTTGGCAAAGAGAGCGGAATAAGGGGGGCTAAGGGGCTGCCCTGCATATTGCAAAGTTGTCCACGCGCAACCAACCCTGTAATATGCAGGTAAGCCCCGAGCCCCTCATATACAACTCTCTTCTGCGAAGTCCAGAGCACCGAACCTGCCACAATAGGCTCTCTTGTCTTCACAGACCTCTAGAAGCCAAAAATAGCCACTCCCCCAATGCACTCCAACATGTTGCTTGTTTTGGTTTTTTATTGTGCTGATATGTAGTGTATATCGATTGTGTAGTGTTATAAGAGCATAAATTATAAGGATTATGGGCTTGGGGTTGTAAATGATGTTGTGCCATACTTCTCGGCAAGGGTTACCGTTAGGTCTAGTTGGCAAGTGTTTAAGAAAATTAAGGACATTCTAGGTGGGCATCAGAAAGGGATGAAGTGATTCAGAAACTCATGTTTTGGTCATTTTGTGGGGTTGGGAGATAATCGGAGTAAGGCCTTTTGGGGGAAAGGTGCACATTATCTTTTGGTGCATGTTGTTAAATGCAAAAAGAAGAATGAAATGTGGTTTTCGGTTGATGGAAAGCCGATTCGGTTTGGGAGGATGGAGTTCTGCTTAATGACATGCCTAAATTGTGGGCCATTTCCAGACGTAGAAGTTGAAGAAAGGGTAAAGAATAGCAAGGCTGCCGAAACGTTTGTTAGAAAGGTGTTCGCAGGGTAGCAATCAATTACGGGTCATGATTTAGAGGAGAGGTTAGAAGCGGAAGGAAATCAATATGGCTCTTCAGAGAAGTTCTGAATGTGCTTGGTATAGTTTGTGCATTCAATCTTGATGGCTTCTGACTCAATGAAAGTTGTAAACTAGGATTGGGAGCGATATGCAAGTAATGAGGACTTCTTTTATTCTCATCCATGGGGAAAGTTATCATTTAAGTTAACCATCGATTCCCTACAAGGAAAAGACATGGTGATTAAATACCGCCAATATGCCGAGAAACGGAAACCCAACACATACAATTTGCTTGGCTTTCCTTGGGCAATGTAGGTAAATATTAATAAGTTTTAGTTAATTTTTTGTATTATATGTGTTTTAATTCTGATATGGACTATTTTTTTACAATGTAGACTTAGATATATAAGATCGTCCCTGTCTTGGCTAAAGGAGAGGGGGGGGGGGGGGGGGGGGGGATGAATAGTTCAGATGAGGCACCACAGTTTCCTAGCATTTTCGGTACCACACCGAGAAGTGTCCTTGGGACTATGAGAAAATTGAAATGGAATTGAATGGTTCGGGTAACATTAAAGGATTTGTGTTTTGAATATATAATAAATTAAATGGTTTTTGTAAATTTGATTGATTTTTTTTTTTTTTCTTTTTGTAGGGAGTGGTTCATCCATTCCTCACTCCTACTAGGACTGAATCGATGATGGATTATGTTACATCGGTCAAACCATTGGACAATGTTTTTTATGAGAAGATAGACCGCCTAATGTAGGACTTAGAAAGAGTCACGCATTTGACTGCAATGGAAGGGCCGTTTGTTGAGCATGTGACTGAGGCCGAAGGCCAAGTAGGCGGGATGGATGAGGAGAAAGACATGAAGGCTCTTGTTCGTACACCTCCTTCTAATTGGCAAACCAGTACACCAAGTACTAGTTTGCCACCAAGTATTGGTTTGTCACCAAGTACCGGTTTGCCTATACATCCTGAATCTAAGTTGGTTGACCTTATAAACGGTCTACACAACAAGTTTGACTTGTTAAGCAACAAGTTTGACATGTTGAGCAGTACTGTTCATGAGAAGGTAGATAAATTGGAAGAAGGGCGCAAAGGGTGGAGGAGAAGGTTGATGTGCTATTGGAAATGGAGGAAGTTCAACCTAAGAGAAGAAAGACCCAAAAAAGCAAGCATATGACATCTCCTTTCATGCAATTAAGGTATGAAAAGAAGAGGAGATTTGCGAAAGAAAAGGAGGAAGCTAGAGGAAGTGAGGAAGCTAAACTGGCTGATACGGAGGAACAAGGAGGAAGTTGGGAAGTGAAGCAAACTGATATAGAGGAAGAAAGAGGAAGTGGGGTAGTGAAGCAATTAAAGCTTGATTTGTTTAAGGCATTAGATGAGGAAGGGAAAAAAATCTTTTTATGCCTATTACAGTGATGAACAAAGTGATGTGGTT